AACAGCGAAGTGATCTTCGTGTCCCGCCCCCCCCCCCCCCACACACACACACACAGGCAGTCCTCTGCTCTCCTGGAGCCTGGCACATCTACCCTCTGCTGTTCCGCCACCTCCACCTGCAGGCTTCGCCATGCATCCTCCCCCTTGCCTATGGCTCTCCACCCATCTCCACCACTTAGCCTCCCATCACCAGGCCCCAAGACAATGAAGTGCTTTAAGTCACTTTCCATACCTGTCCTAAGTTTGCCCCCAGGTCTCATCTCCCGTCTCTAATGAATAACTGGAGTTTCCTTTCTCCCCAAAGACTATTTCCTCCCCCGAAAAGAACTCTGCCTGAGATCATTCAATAGTTTTCTTTTTTCTTTGCTTGTATTTTATGAGAGAATATGGGCAGAAGGGAATGGGGGAGAGAGAGGAGAGTATGCTATAGGTTCTTGCCATGTCACAATCCTCCTGCCCAACCTCCCAGTTGGCCAGGACCACAGACATACACCGCCTTGCACAGCCTAGGTAGGTTGGTCCAGGAACCAGACCCGAGCCTCCCATGTGGCTCTACCACACAGCACTCTCCTTTTTGCAACACCACAGCTGGTCTGAGGATCATTAATTATTTACATTGACCTTCCTATAAAAGTACTTTCATCATTATGTAATAGCTAAAAACAGTGGCATATACTAAAGAAATAGAGAAACTTCTGCAAATAGCCATACCATGAAGAACAAAGGCAAGAGAGTAGAATCCTGCTACAAAATGGCTCATTACACTTGGCTGGTATGAAAAAACACCTAACCCCTGACACACAGCTACGTATAACCTAAGTTGGATATGACACAGGAAGCAAGGCTACCCTCTGCTTCAGTATTGCTCCTGCAAAGGAATCACATCACAGGTCGGACAGTCTTTCTGCTCATTAGCTTAAGTGGAAGAGGACCCTGTAAGCTGGTAGAAATGACCAGCCTCTTCCTCTGCACTTGGACTGCTGCTCTCCTAATCTGGCTGTGTACTGCCTTTGCTGTATTTGCCTACAAACGCCTGCTGCCGGCATGCCTAGAGGTGAGCTTGCTCAGGTTCACTGGGAGCTGTGGCTTGGCTTCATTGCCACAACCTGACTTTGGCACCATCCATCCAGCACACGGGAGTTGCAGGAAACCAGGACCCGTGCTGGCAGGAGGACCATGTCTTGGAGTTTGCAGGTGGCAAGCTTATCATCAGACTGGCCCCAGGGATGCGGATAGAAGTCAGATTGAGGCCTCATCCCACACAGATCCTCTGGCCTTCTCAAGCCATGACAGTCACATGCATTGTGTGCTGAGTCAGTTTCATTTTAACTTGTTTAGGATTTTCAGCAGAGCTTGGCATGCTTGTCTGCCCAGTGTGATGGTTAGACCTTTCAGAGAGCAAAGAGGCCATCTTTCATTTCTTTAAAATCTTCCCCCATTTCTTGGTACAATGTGGCACATATAATAGACATTTACAAATGATTCCTGATGCCCCAACCACCAAAGCCGGCCCTAGGGAAAACTGGGACAAAGGCAAAATTAATCTTGGTTTCTTTCTCCTGCCCTTCCATCCTCTTTCTCCTTCTCCCCTCCCGTCCTTACAGAGCCAAGAGCACTCCGGTCACCACTTAGCAACTTACTTAGGTCTCGTGGGTGCGTATTGACTTAGTGGAGCCTGAGGCTTACACAAATTGAGGATCCAACATTAAGAAAGAGAATACAAAATTATAAATACAAATCTAGGAATTAAAGTGAATATATACTTAGAAAGAAAAATGAAATATGACAAATCACAACTTTTTAAAACCTGACAACACAGGGACCAGCAGTTAGCGTAATGGCTATGTCGCTGGACTCCCACATAGTCAACCGCAGTTCAAGTCCCGGACCCGGTGGCTTAAACTCACGCCAGGTGCGTGTGCGTGCATACCCAGGATCCTGAGAGGAGAATGGCGGAGAAGGGATTGTGGCGTGACCATCCCCCCTGTGGGGTGATTTCTCTCTTTCTGTCTCTCGTGCTCTCTCTGTCTATCTGGCGAGCACATGTGCCCTATAGCAAAAATCTCTCAAAAAAAAAAATACCTACCAACACAAAATCTGGGGAAAAAGTAATAGATTGCTCTTATTAACTTCCTGGAAGATTTCTAAACCAAAACTACAAATAGCTATAGATACATTCCTGATGGTAAACTTTTGGTCCCCTCTTCATTCAATAACTTGGTAATATCTTTCAAAGTGACTTCTAAGTAATTTGGTCCTGGGCCAGTCAGTGGCATGGAGATTAAGGAGGCTGGATCCCACATGGCTGGCTGTGCAGTTCAAGTCCCAGACCCGGCAGCTTGAAAAAAATCTGAGCTGTGTATATGTGTGCCCAAACTCCCAAGAGGAGAATGGAAGAGAAGGACTATAGTGTGGCCATCTTCCGTAAAGGGTCCTTTCTCACTTTCTCTCTCTGTCTCTTCCTGGTGAATGCCCATGACCTATAGAAAATTTAAACAAAAACAAAAAACAAGGAATTTGTCCTTCCCCCAGCAGAGTTGATTGCAATGTGTCTTTTATTACAGAGAAAAGGAATGCATAAAACACAACTCCACAAAGAGACACACTGGCTCCTGTTAGCACAGGTCCCAGATCACTCCCTACAAACAGAAATTTCGATCAATGCTATGCACATAATTCCTATCCTATCGGAGGAAATGTGTGGTGTGTTTACAATTGGTCACCGCCTTATGAAGAAGAGCCTTGACAGAAGAAAGTTTCCATGTTTGATGGATGAGATCCCAGTCCTCCACTTTGGGCACATCTGATGATTCAAAGCGTTTCCCATTGACTGCTCTGGCTCATGCATTTCAAACTGGACTCCTGGGGAACACGCTCCACGCACCCCAGGATGTGGCCTAGGTCCTGGAACGTGCGGTCAGCACACTGGACGAGGGGGCATAGCAGAAGGAAGGAGGGCAAGTAGAGACATATACAGCAAATGATATCTGCGTTAGCCACCTAAATACACTCCACGAAACCTAAATGAAAAGGTCTCCCCCGCAGTGGATCTAAAAAATGCCCATGGCCACTCCAAATGTACCCAATAAGAGGAGCAATCGGACGAGGGGAAGCCAGAATGGAAACAGGCAGTGGCATTGACCTGTTGCAATTAAGGTACCTTAGTCTTAGTTCATGCTGTTGTAACAAAATACCTCAGACTGGGTCATTCGTAAATAATAGAAAAGCATTCCTCACAGGAAGGGATCACTCTCCTCCACACGTGGCACTTTGCTACTGAGGCATGTGGCAAAAGGGCAGGAGGGCCTCACAAACTCCCTCCAGCTCTTTCCTAAAGGCACTAACCCCATTCACCAGGACAGAGCCCCCATAACCTAATCACCGCCTGAAATCCCCACCTCTTAATACTGTTGCATTGGGAATTACGCTTAAACATGAATTTTGGAGGGACGCAGACATTCAAGTCATGACATTCTGTCCCTCCTCCCCCATTCATGTCCTTCTCACATACAAAATACTTCTATCCTATCCCAATAGTGCCCAAATGTCTTATCTTCTCCCAGCATCATCAGGTTTTTTTGAGAGTTTTGTTTTGTTTTGTTTTGTTTTTGTTATAGGGCACATGCGTTCTACAGAGAGAGACAGAAAGCGAGAAATCACCCCCCATGGGGGATGGCCACGCCTCAATCCCTTCTCCTCCATTCTCCTCTCAGGATCTTAGGCACACATGCTCACGTGCCCAGGGTGAGTTTAAGCCACCAGATCTGAGACTTGAACCACAGTCAACTACATTGGAGTCCAGTGACATAGCCATTAAGCTAACTTCTGGTCCCTCCCAGCATCATCTTTAAAGTCTAAATCCAAAGACTCATCTAAATATCATCTAAATCAGGTATGGGTGAGATGCAGGATATGATTCATCCCTGAGGCTAACTGCTTTCCAGCTGCAAGCCTGTGAAATCAAACAAGTTACGTGTTTCCAAAATGCAGTGGCAGAACACGTGTAGAACAGACATTCCTTTCTGAACAGGAAGCCATAGAAAAGAGGAAAGGAGTGACAGACCCTGATGGAGTCCGAAACCCAACAGGGAAAGCAATGTTAAATCTAACGTCTCGTGAATAATCTTTTTCACTCTATATCGTACCGTCTAGGCTGGAGGTCAGGCCCCCAAGGCTCCGGGCAGCCCAGCCCCCATGGCGTTGCCCATCACAGCAGATTAGAGTCTCCCAGGCTAGTGCTGCACCTGGTGGTTTCACAGTTCAGAGGTGTCATAGGTGGCCCCACTCCCAGAGCTCCACTAAATATTGCCCTCATAGGTGCCCTCTGCAGTGGCCTTTCCTTGGCGGCGGCTCTCTGTGGTGCCCTCCTTGCCCCACCTGGGCCCCAAGGCTTTCTAGAACATCCTTTGAAATCCATGTGGAGGCAGCCATGGCCTTCCTGCCTATGCACTCTGTGTCTACAGAGTTCACACCACAGGGACACTGCCAAGGTTGACTTCTTGTGTCATGGGTGCCCCTGGAGCTACACACTTGATGTTCTTTCTTGAACACCTTTTTTCATTTTTACCACTGAAAATTATTGAACTCTTTAAGCTCTACTTCCCTTTTGATTATAATGTTATTTTTAATTGTTTCTCTCCTCTCGCATTTTCCTATGAGCAGTCAAGAGAAGCCATCTGCACCCTGAACACTTTTCTTAGAGATGTCTCCCACCAAATACCCTAGACCATTGCTCTTAAATTCTGCCTTCCACAAAAAGCTAGAGACTGTTGTCTCTAGCTTTTTGGCACCAGAGACCTGTTTGGCGGGAAGACAATTTTTCCATAGGCAGAGTCAGGGGGTGGTTTATAAGGCACCAGAGACCTGTTTGGCGGGAAGACAATTCTGCCATAGGCAGACTCAGGGGGTGGTTTATACAAGAGTGCACACAACCTAGATCTCACATGCACTGTTCACAAGAGGAACGATTTGGGCTCGCATGAGAATCTAACGCCACTACTGACATGACAGGAGGCTGCTCTCAGGCAGTCACGCAAGCAACGGGGAGTGGCTATAAATACAAATGAAGCTTCACCAGCTTACCCACCACTCACCTCCTGCCTGCTTCCTAACAGAACACAGGACACAGACCAGTCCACAAACACGACAGGTCAAGTTCTTTGTCATTTTAGAACAAGAATGGCCTTTCCTTCAGTTGCCAATAGCATTTTCCTCATTTCCATCTGAGACCTCATCACAATGACCTTTACTGTTCATATTT